CATAGTATGTACCTTCAAACACAGATTTGCAGTCCGTAACACAAAGTTTAGTAAGTTCAATGGAAAAGTTTTCTGGTTCCTCTGCAAGGTACGTAAGCAAATCAATGACAGGAACTCTGGTAAACAATGCTGTGACATCAAAACTTACAAGAGTAAAGCCATGTGCAACACTTATTTCTGAAGTCCCTCTGTAAGGTGTAAGGTCAACATTATTTTTAATATGAGCATCTGAAATCCTCCCGACCATGACAGTTAGAAACTTAAAAGTCATTTAGACAGGTTATATGCTGCCGAGACTACTGAACTAATAACAGGTCTAACTGGGTTCCCTGGTTTATGAGTCTTGATTATCCCATAAAGTTACCGTAAAGTTGCCGACGTGGCTGACAGATGTTTAATTAATTCATCCTTCCCTTCAATAACGTTTTAAGACGTTTATTGAAATGGCTATTGCCCTGGTCAATGGGCTTCTTAATGAGCAGTTCATACGTTTTATTATCACTCAGCAAATGGTTCATTTTACTTGAATACTCAGTCTTTTCTAAAATAACAAACATTAGATTAATCGCCTCTCTAGAGATGCAAGTTCTGATAGTTACTGAGCTCTTTGTTTGCTTTGGTAAATTTTAGTGGGTAATTGGACAATACTGGACGGAGTAAAATCTCATATACCATCCATTTACATATATTAAATGTATTAGGCATCAAATCACCATGTTTTTCCAGCTTGCACAACGACTTTGCTAAGTTTACATAATTAGCGTCCTTAGTTGTTGGGGCGAAGCTTAATCCAAACCCTAGTGCAGCCTGTTGGTCACTACTTAATTCTTTGCCAGACAAGTTGATAACAAACTCCGGGTTGGCATGTGTGATCCAGCCATTCTGTGCTATAAGATTATTTAATTTCCTAGTATTAATGCGTTCTGTGTTCTGCTTTACTCTTCTAAGTTGGCTATAAATATATTCAAGCAGGTAGTGATGCCAGCTTGGGAGAATCTTGTTAAAGAATACCTTCATGGCTCTCCTCATTTCTCTAAAAAGCATCTTCTTTTCGTGTCGCACTAGTTCAATATTTTTAGTGAACACTAACGTGTGCAGTTGATCGACAGGTGTAGTAGCTAGCCTGACCAACCTGTTCTGCAGTAGAGATTTCGGTAGAACCTTTTCACTTAGGCATTTACATAAAAATACTGACTTCAGGAAAGCTTTATGGGCTTTGAAGAGTGAGCATTTGTAGGAGGCAACAGCAGAAATAAAGAAAGAAAACAGACGAGAGAAATGAGAGAAGAGAGGGCGAGTGGCGTTCATAATGCGATACAATCACAAAAAGGCGATCTTAACAATGAAACGCACCTTACCCGTCCGTAGAATATATAAGCAATATTAATAAGAACATTTAGGTAGAGCTGCTTAAAGGTATGATACGGTTACGGGTACATAAGGTTAAGTTGCTGCAATTAGTGATTGCAACATGGTGATTGTAACTAGCGGGAATAGAACCCGCGATCAGAGTCTGAAAACTCCAGACCGTCGCGTTAGCCACTGGACCAGTTAGCCACAATAAAATTCGCCCAACTAGGACTCTCTGATCGCGGGTTCTATCCCCGCCCGTGGTATGGTTTGTTTGCAATCGTGTCATTACGATTTCGTGAGTCATGTTACCGGCTTTGAGGGGACTTGAGCTAGAGTTCGTCACGGCCACGCTAGCTGGAGATTCGTCTGTAAAAACTTGCATTTGTGGTCACAGTGGTGCCTATACTAGCCTTCCTATGGTGTAGAAATATACCTAGTTGGGCGAATCTTATTGTGGCTAGCTGGTCTAGTGGCTAACGCGACGGTCTGGAGATTTGAGACTCACTGATCGCGGGTTCTTTCCCCGCCCGTGGAATGGTTTGTTTGCAATCGTGTCATTACGATTTCGTGAGCCAAAAGGGTTAGGCTGTTAGTGAGTGATAAGAGATAATCGGAAAATATATGAATAGTCTGGCTATTAGGTTATAAAGAATGTGAATACTGAGGAAGATTCATGAATAACCAAGGAACAGTCATAATAATTGATACTGATAATATCGGAAGGCTGTATCTAGGAATGTTTGAAGAGATTCTTCCGAGCACTACCTAGAACCTAGAACCTTTCTGGATGTACGGTAGTTTAAGTTGACAAATGAATGCATTCGACTCTTTTATTAATTAGAAGGTCTACATATAATTTCATTGTTTTATATGTGTGCTGTCCACTAATGCAACGTAATCTCTTTCGTCACATGACTTGTTGACGACTTGTAGATGTAGCTTAGGGCTGGCTATTAAATTCCCTATTATTCTGATTCCCGATTTCGGAGGTCCTCTCCACCTACTCAACCCCACACGAGGGAGATGACAGGTACACAACTGTGTCTGTGTCTTGACCATTTCTGAGAAGAATTGCGTTGGCGTCACTGAGAAAACTTCCTCTCACGCCACCTGTTGCTACTCTTGCAACATTATATAGTTTCTTATGATACATGAAGACGTGTGAATGATCATGGGTTGAAGATTTCATCCCGGCTTGTCTTTCATACATATATATATATATATATAATATATATATATATATATATATATATATATATATATATATATATATATATATATATATATATATATATATATATATATATATATATATATATATATATATATATATATATATATATATAATGTCGTGCCGAATAGGTAAAATAGGTTAATTAGCAAGAACTCACTTAAAATTAAGTCCTTTCTAAAGTTTTCTCTTATACGTTTAAAGATATATTTTTTTCATTTATGTTAATGTAAAAATTAATAATATTGTACCAAAAGAACCGTAGATAACTTGCCTAACCTTATCATAAGCCTGCCAAAAATAATACACCAGCGGTTACAGGACACCAAACACACAACACAGAAGAGGTAAAGAAAAAAAAGATGGAACTGGAAACATCACAAGCAGTGGAATCAGACAAGGTGTCCCTCTGCGAGACGGAGCAGAATAACTGTCTGAACTTCTAGCTATGATCTACAAATATTTAATGAACATTTGATGATTTCCAGAGATCTGGAAGACAGTGAATGTATTGAAAGTTAAGACACATGTGCAACATCTGGATATCTTTATTGTAGTAGACGTTTCGCCATCCAGTGGCTTTATCAATACAGATTCTAGGACATAATAGGAAGACAGTAGAACTATATACAAAAGATGAGGTAATCAGTCCCTCGGCCTTGGAGTTAGTGTTCACAGCATCGTGGTGGAGGAGAGTCTGGAGCAAAGACAAGAAGACTGGCGGTTTATATAGGCGTCAGTGGATGTATTACCTGTATTATGCACCTCCCTATTACATCAATTAAAAAAGGAGACAGACAGGAAGCACTGAGTTACAGGTAATTTTCGATGGTATATATACCGTGCAAGGTAATGGAAAAGATAATCAGACGAAGAGCGACCGAACATTTGGAGAGGTTCTTAAATAATAGCCAACACGGGTTCGGAAATGGTAAACCTTGTCTTACCAGTCTGGTTGAATTCTAAAATAAAGTAACGTAAGTGAGACAAGAGAGAGGACTAGATTGATTGCATTTTTGTAGACTGCAAGAAGGAAGACTGGGGTAAAAATATGAAGTGCAGACATAAATAATTGGGAACATACTTTTCTAGATCCAAGAGTACCTCTGGGAAAGAAGCCAAAGAGTGGTTGTCCTGGAAGATAAGTCAGAATGAGCAAGACTAAAAAGTGGGCACCACGAGGATCAGTATTAAAGTCAGTGATTTTTCTGGTTTATGTGAATGATATTCGAGATGGAATGGAGTCAGATGTGTCCCTGTTTGCTGATGTAAAACTGATCAGAAGAATAAAAACAGACGAGGATGTTGAAAAGCTGCAAATGGATCTTGACAACCTAACATTGATCAAATAAATGTTTGCTTGAATTCAACTTCAGCAAATTTAACATGAAGATCGGGGAAGGGAAGAAAAGACCGAACATGGAGTATGGCCTCGAAGGACAGGGGTTACAGACTTCCCTCAGAGTGAAACAGTTAGGAGTGAACATAGTGCCTAGCATCTCGCCAGAGGCTTACATCAACGAGTAACCTCTTTAAGCAATACTCTCCTGGCAAATCTAATATTAGCTTTCAGGAATCTTAACAAAGTATCATTCTGGGCACTTTATACAACATATGTCAAGCCCATATTGGTGTATACAGTACCAGGATGGCATCCAAACCTGAGGAAGCATGTTGAGAAATTAGAGATAGTGTAGGAGTACACAGTGAAGCTTGTTCCAGAGTTAAGGGGCAGGAGCCTTGAGGAGTGGCTAATGGAACTCAATCTGATGACATAGGATGACAGAACAGGGAAGACTTGAAAAAACATCCAAAATACTCAAGGAATTAATAACATACACAGCGACAGGCTGTTTCAGAGGCCAGAACAGGAATTCGGGATCTTGGGGACAGGAGCTGGAACTTTGCACATAAACACAGAAACACAGACACACACACACAGACACACACGCAGATACACACACACAAAAAAACAGGCCCTCACATACACAGGAAGTGTAGAACAATCTGAAGAGAGTGAAGTAGTAAAGATGGGATTCATACATAGTTTTAAGTAGAGGTACGATAAGGCTCTTGGAGCCGAAAAACAATGGACCTAGTAGCGACCAAAGAAGAGACGGAGCCGAGAACTATAGATCTACCTCTGCAACCGCATTTAAGTGAGTAAGCACACACTCTCTCATCCAAACTCACACATTTATCCGCCACCAACTCGCACTCACACTCACCCCAACGCTCACGCTCACACCACCTCTCACAATTAACATGCATGAATTGCTACTACCACACAAATGTCGCCAGTAAGCCCCGTCCTCGGGCCATTGATTTGCTGCATTAATCTAAATTGAACATGCGACAGGCACGCCAGGCTCGCCATCTCTGATTTACACAGCGATGTGGTGTTTCTCCCTGGCAGGCTTCCTCAACACCAGCCCCAACGGCAGTGGGCGAGGAGTAGTGGGCAACCAGGGGTTGATGGACCAGCTAGCGGCACTATCATGGGTTAACGAAAACATTGCTTACTTCGGTGGCGACCCTACTAGAGTGACTCTCTTCGGCCACTCCTCCGGCGCCGCCTGCATCAACTACCTGATCGTTTCTCCTGTTGTTGTACCGGGTAAGTCAGAGGACTTGTTTGTTGTCACTCCACCACTCACACTGTAATGCAAGTGAGATTTGGAATGCATCTGGTTCTTTGATTTTCACATTGTTACATCTACGACTTTGTGAAACTACCCCCACGATGTAGATACGAGTATTAGAAATTATTAATTACGTGAGTAAGGGAAGCGAGTGGCTAGTAAGAATACCGAGTAAAATATATCCCTACCAGCGCTGCATATTCGAGAATGGGAAACATGTAAGAGATAATGAGTTTTCAACGAGTCTGTTGAGGAACTTCCTTGAAGGCCAATCATACGTTAGCAAGCTTGGCATCTTAGCTTGTGCTGTTGATGCTATTGTTTCGATACGTGCTTCATGGGACAGGTTTACAGAGATACTCATTCCAGGATATTGTTCTCTGTGGCTTATAGCACTTTTTTACTCATCCCTTATCCTTCAGGTGTCACTTTTTTTTTTATTGACCTTCATTCCCCGTCTCTAACTATTAACTTTTCGTAGGGTTTAATTTTTACAGTTATTAGACAATTCATGAAGTCTGGTCGATTTTTTTTAGAGGCTGCCGTTATCATTGTCAGTTTGCGCTCATCTCAATGTTTTGACCTCGCGTGCAGATGTGTGTGTGTGTGTGTGTGTGTGTGTGTGTGTGTGTGTGTGTGTGTGTGTGTGTGTGTGTGTGTGTGTGTGTGTGTGTGTTGTGTGTTTGGGGTGTGTGTGTGTGTGTGTGTGTGTGTGTGTGTGTGTGTGTGTGTGTGTGTGTGTGTGTGTGTGTGTGTGTGTATGTGTGTGTGTGTGTGTGTGTGTGTGTGTGTGTGTGTGTGTGTGTGTGTGTATGCGCGCGCACGCGCGCACCGTATGTGCTCACCGATTTACAGTCGATGAGATGCGTTTTCAAGGGACGAGCTGTAGCTCCTGGCTTTCCTTCGTAAGCTACATTATTCGGAATTTTTGGCTTCTGATCTCTTGAGCCCGAAACTGTGTAAGTAGTTTGAGTTTGTGTTCCTGGAGAAAGACACACAGAGAGTCAGATCTACAATCAAATTGTAAATAATAACTGTCACTGTGTTTCAGGACTGTTCCACCGAGCGGTGCTCATGTCAGGGTCTGCCCTCAGTCCCTGGGCTGAAGTGCAGGACGCCCTCTCCGTGACAGCGCGTCTGGCCAAGCACCTCAACTGCTCCCTTCCCACCAACCTCAGTGACCGACACCCGGAGACCATGGCGTGTCTGCGCAATGTGTCGGCGCAGCGTCTGGTCACCGTCAAGTTGCCCGAGTACAAGTTCACCTCTATGTTTGGTCCGAGTGTGGACGGTGTGGTAGTTCCAGAAGACTTCAAAACACGACTAAACAGAGTAAGACAGTGTAACACCTAAGTATCTCTATTTTGAAGACGTTTCGCCCACCAGTGGCATTATTACTTCAATACAAAGTCACTGATCAAAGAAACATCTTCAAAATAAATATTCGAGGTGTTGCACATGTGTTTAATTCATCTTTTTTATTGCGTTTAGGAAAAAAAAAACTCACATCAGCGTTAGCAGCAGAATAAATGGGACAAGTTTTTTCAAGGGTAAGTAAGATTAAATACTGGAGTTTATTTAGCATTCATAAAAATGTAAGTATATTAGTCAACGACGTGATTGATGACCAATTTTGTGACGAAAATTAAAAACTGTGATTTATTAAAATTTAAAATCTAAAGGAGGAAATGTATTAAACTCGTATGTTTCTCACTAACTCGCCGTCTTAACGAATTTTTATTAAAAAAAAAAAAGCAGCCGTGATTTTTTGCCGAATAAGCGGTGAAAATTTTTATGGAATAAATTTGTGAAAATCAATCTGAACATGATGAAAAAATGCGTATATCATTAATTCAAATTAAAATTATTAAATTTAAACTGATCAATGATGAGCTAAACAGAATTAAGCTAAAATGGTCCACCTTGGACCATTTTAGTTTAATTCTGTTTAGCTTAATTCTTTAAGCTAAAACGGTCCACCTTGGACCATTTTAGCTTAAAGACATGGGAAACATGGGAGAGATCCTGGGCCTATATTTAAACCCCACCAAATGCGAAATAGTTTCTACCAATCAATAAATCATTGAGTATATTAGTGTTGCTTTGCGAGGAGCCAACAGAATCCTTCCTGGTGCTCCTCTTGGATCCAGTGCCACTGATCTGATCCTAGAAAAGAAAATCTCAGACCTCAGGACGATGGAAGGCAGGATGCAAGACGCTGATACACATGATGCCTTCTGTCTACTCACCAGGTGCCTTGCCCATCCCAAAACTCACCTACTTCCTGAGATGCTTCCCAGCCTTGAGCAGTCCAAAACTCAAGGAATATGACTTCCTCCTAAAGACCATCCTGTATTGAATCTTTCTTTTGAAGATGGACAATGGATGCAAGCCTCACTTCCAGTCAGGCTTGGGGGCCTGGGAGTAAGCAAATTCTCTCAGATTGCCCTAACAGTTCTCATATCCTCTTTCATAGAATCAAACAAGTTAATAAAACAAATTTTTCTGGACAACCTCAGTGACTCAGCAGGAATACAGGATCCTAGCTGTGCCAGTGATATTACCGAATTGGAGAATCGCTTCTCCAGAACCAAAACCTAATGCAGCACCGGCCTACAAAAATTCAAGCTGGGTTGGCCCCATCGCTGAAAAGGTGCTTGCCAACATGCTTAGGGCTGTAACATTAGACAGGGAGACGGCTCGTCTCCAAGCTGTGAGCGCACATGACACTGGGGACTTCTTCCAAGCAGTTCCTATTTCGGAAATGGGAACACGCCTCGACCCTAAGACCCTCTGTATTGCAGTGGCTCTCACCTTGCTGCCCCAATTTACACAGAATATACGTGTATTTGCGGCGATGGACAAGAACACCGATATGGTCTACATGATCTAAACTGCTTCAAAACCAAGGGCTGACATCCAAAACACAATGATGTCAACGGCATCATAAAGAGAAGCCGTGCTAAAGCTGGATGCCCAGCTGAGAGAAAGAGAGCCCCGATCAAGCAGCTAAAAATATTCAGAAACCCGCAAACCGCGCCGACGGGATCACCATCTATCCTTGGTTGAATGGCAAGATCTTAGCATGGAACTATGCCTGTGTGTCGTGTCAATGCTGGCTGACACCTACATCCATTACGGTGTCGGGCGACAGAGAGGAGCTGCTGATCACAGGGAGGAGTACAAGATCGATAAGTCCAGAGACATAAACCAACAGTATCAATTTGTCTCTGTGGGATCAGAGACCTTAGGATCATGGGGAAAAAATGCCACACGTTTCCTTAAAGAACTGGGCTCCAGACTCAAAGACACCACCAGGGACCCGAGGGCGGCTACTTTCATGTTCCGGCGCCTCAGCGTGTCCATCCAGAGAGGAAATGCTTGCTGCATACATGGCTCGCGTCCGGCTTTGGAAGAGCTGGAGAAGATTCATAGTCTTTGATATATTGTACCAATATAGCTATGTTTGTTTCTGTAAATGTATTGTCTATAAGCATGTAAATATATATATATATATATATATATATATATATATATATATATATATATATATATTATATATATAAAATATATATATATATATATATAATACATAAAATATATATATAAATATATTTTATATATATATATATATATATATATATATATATATATATATATATATATATGTATATATATATATATATATATATATATATATATATATTATATATATATATATATTTTATATATATATAAATATAGGGAGGTACCCCCTCTAGAACTGTTATAGGGACCCTCATCCTCAGAGAAAAGAATAAATTTTGCTTCAGGGAAAACTCAAGGTTCTCCTGAAGCTGTTTAAAGAATTTTCCCCTACCACCCCCTATATTTTATATATATTTTATTTAAAGACAAAATACATTGACAAAACATTCACAAAATACGATAGAAAGTAAAACAACATAGGTAACTCAGAGCTACATCTCGAATACTTCGTCCAGCTCCCCGGCGGTGGGCCGCGTGCCCAGAATGCTGCAGGCATTTCCTCTCTGGATCGCAACACTGAGTCTCTGAAAGAGGAAGCTGGTCGCCCTGTGGTCCTTGGTTTCTATGATGAGCTTTTCACCCAGCTCTATTAGGAACTTTAGAGCACACTTGCCCATGCTCCAAGGGTCTCCGACCCTATTGGGATGAAGTTATAGCAAGGGGGAAGGTCTTCATATTTGCGGATCTTCTGGGTCTCCCTGTGGCTGGCAGCTCCACCCCCTTCCACTACGGAGTATGGCAAGTAGGTGTCTGCCCAAAGTGGCGGCACATGTGTAGTCCAGGCAATCTGCTTTCCATCCTTCCAAGGTAGCATAGTGGCTCCATCAGGACGCTTTTGACTTCCGTTAGACCTCTGCACTTGGGGTTCCCGCCGAGCTGGGCAACGGGCTGTGGCGAGGCTTCTCTTTATGATGTCATTGACCTCCTCATGCCTGGCATACTTCCCTTCTGCTGTGTGACACACGAGACCATGAAGTCCGAATTGATCAGCTGTCGCCCTGCCGCAAATACACCTATGTTCGGTGAGGATGGGGGCGGCTAGGCGAAGAGCAACACCAATCCGAATGGCCTGTGGGTCTAGTCGAGTGCCCACGGAGGAATTGGGAACAGCTAACAGGAAATCTCCTGAGTGTGGTGCCTTCACTGCCAGGAGACGAGCTTTGTCCTTTCCTGAGGCGTTGGAGAGCATTGTGTTGGCGATTTTTTTCATGATCGGTTTGTCCCAGTGGGACTGTTTGTGTTCTTTGCGAGGAGCTGGTCTACTGGAGGAATCTGTAAGGGTGTCCCACCGAATCGCTGCTTCAGTAAACCTGGGGTCTTGAGCTCCTACCACGTTTCTCAAGCGTTCGGGAACAATCTTCTTGACTAACGCACTGGAAGCCAAACACGAAGACAGAAAAACAGGTAAAGCAACATGCGTTGCTTTACGCACCCCTATACCTCCCAGTCGTACTGGAAGGGTTGCCTGATCCCATTGCTGATCCTCTAATGACAGGTTCAGTGCCTTCTTAAGGGTTGACCTGAGGTGTGCGACATATTCGTCGAGTGTTGGGTTGTCAAAAGAGGGTGCACACCTCAGGAAGTGAGTCTTGGAATAGTAAGGCACCTTGTGAGGAGATATAGAGCATCATGGGCATCAAGATTGCTTATTCTCTCCTCCATTCTCATCAGGTCATTCAATTTGTCCTTCAGGACTGTGTCGATGGCCTGGTGACCCAGCGGTGCTCCCAAGATGGTACTGTTGGACGGAGTGGTAGTAGAAACTTCTGGGAGGATTCTTCGCACACACACACACACACACACACACACACACACACACACACACACACAACACACACACACACACACACACACACACACACACACACACACACCACACACACATATATATATATATATATATATATATATGTATATATATATATATATATATATATATATATATATATATATATATATATATATATAAATATATATATATATATATATATGTAAAACTCAAAGAGCATTGGGGAGTATCATCTACATTCTCGCAGAATTTCAATGTGTTTCTTTTCTTTTCTTGGAGAAGCTGTGGGTCCTCGGTCAGCATTAGAGGTGGTATCTCCCTATACATCTATAAATAGTGTGTCTTTACTAAAAACCTCTAAAAAACATTAAAAAAAGATTAATTTAAGAAAAGAGATACATAAAATGAATTTACCATATTAAAAACTTTAAAGAGTTGGCAGAGCTTTCACATGTGCCCAGACTAAGCTTAAGATGACAGATGATGAAGAGAGGTTCTGCCAACCATATTTTTATACGTGATGGGTAACTGGCTCCCACCTGGAACGAGTGTTGCTCATTGGATGTAATCTCGCGCATGCTAATTCTCTCTAGACGGCAGAGAATCATGGTTTACCTCGCAGTTGTACTTTCCAGAGCCGTTCTCTGCCTGGCTTCGACACGTATTCAAAATATACATCAGACAGTATCGCCCAGGCCAGGCTAGGACTTGACTAATAGTGTCATTCAGGTTTCTCATTTTAAATGCATCATATCCTCATTTTATATACAACATATACTCATTTTATATTCATCATATCCTCATTTAATATTTACCATATCCTCATTATATATATATATATATATATATATATATATATATATATATATATATATATATATATATATATATATATATATTATGTCGTGCCGAATATGCAAAACTGGTCAATTAGTAAGAACTCATTTAAAATTAAGTCCTTTCTAAAATGTTCTCTTATACGTTTAAAGATATATTTTTTCATTAATGTTAATGT